TTCCTTCTCTAGTTTGCCTGTGCTGTTCGAATTCTGTCTTGTTTTCTCTGGGTGGTGTTTCACCTAGCATCTTGCCGGCATGGCTAAAAGAAAACTTAGTGAGTGTTCAAGACACCCTGGACCCAAGCAGGACACAAGAGTTGCTGGCCAGCAGGGGGTTCAGTGAAGGTCAGGTATGAGGTGAACTGTGGACCTGGCTGAGCCTGGAGCCTGCTGTCATTAGAAGAAGGCTGGGAGGCATCACCAGCATCTCCTGTGATCCTGCAGCACCTGTGCCACTTGCTGGGAATCAGAGGCAGGCAAGACAGATGTGATTCTCAGTCTCCGGGACCTCAATCCAATGGGGGGGACAGACAAACATCACAAACCAAGTGAGTGAAACAGCCCAGTGTGGAGAGCGCTGTCCAGGCATGGCTGGGTGCTGAGATGGAGGCGAGGCAGCCGGCCTGGAGGCCCACTTAGACCTGATGCCAGGGAAGCCCTCTCTGAATGCCTTAATTGCACTTTCAACATGAACTTCCATCACATCCCATATAAGATTTAGAAAGACTTCCACCAGCTTCTCTAACATTTTTGCCAGTTTGCTAGTCACAAAATTTAAAAAAACTAAAAAACACAATCACCAGGTGGTGAGCAGAGAAACCTGTAAAAGTTAGCATCCCTGGCCCCAGGCACACCGCCCCCCTCACTTTGTTGCCCTTTGACACCTTTTACTTGATTGCACTGAAGCCTGGATTAATTTTTCCTGGCCTGAGGCCCATGCTAATTTGCATGGCTATTCTATATACGGGTCAGGTCCAGGAAGACAGCAGGCCAGCCTGAATTCACAAACAGAGTCACATCCATCAAGTAGCCACGAGCTCAATATACTCGCTGAGAAGAATGGAGGGTAATGAGAAATCCTACTGCGGCCTGAAAGCGTGACTCACCAGGGCTGCTCTGTGGTCAAGCTGATGGGTAAAGCACTCCATCATCCTTATGTTCCCCTTGTCAAACACTTGTGGGCTTCCATTTTGGGCTTTAGACATGTAATTATGGTTCCCATTGTTTCCAAAGCCAGAATGAAGCCTCAGATGATATAATTAATTGTGAGTTAGGTGGAGAATCTTCTTTCGTTGTATGCTCTCTTCTGCGATGTTCATACAAATCCTCATTTTGCCCAGTAATACCATATACTGCCTAACCGCACAAGTCTATAAAGTACACGTTTAGCTGTTGTTCTGAGTGGGTAACCAGAAAACTTAACGCACAACTGGGACTAAAATCTTTTGTGGGAAACTCCAGTCTTTCTGTTTCTTGGCACCATCAATAATTCTTATGGTCACTGGGAGTGTTTGTTCATTTTTTTCACACATTTATTCATTCAGTCAGTCAACAAATATCATTTTAGGTCTTGATGTGAGAGGAACTGTACTAAGTATGAAGACATGTGGTCTCTAACCAAAACTAGAGCTACCATGCATGCTCAGTCACTTAGTCGTGTCTGACTCTTTGCAACCCCATGGCCTGTAAGCCCACCAGGCTCCTCTGTCCATGGAATTCTCCAGGCAAGAATGTTGGAGTGGGGTCAGGCCTCCTCCTCCAGGGGATCTTCCTCACCCAGGGACCGAACCTGAGTCCTCCTGCAGCTCCTGTATTTTCAGGAAGATTTATTGTCGGGCAGATTCTTTACCACTGAGCTACCTGGGAAATCCAGAGTTGCCATATGATCCAGAAACCCCACTCCAAGGCATATATATCCAGACAAAAGTATAATTCAAAGATACATGTACCTCTAGGTTCACAGCAGCACTGTTCATAATAGGTAAGATGTGGAAACAAGCTTCATTGGCAGATGAACGGATAAATAAGAGGTGGTACATATATATAATGGAATATTACTCAGCCATAAAAAGAATGAAATAACACCATTTGCAGAACATACATGGGTCTAGAGATTATCATATTGAGTGAAGAAAGTTAGAGAAAGACAAATATCATGACATCACTTATACATGGGCTCTAAAATATGACATACTGAACTTACCTATGAAATAGAAACAAACTCACAGACACAGAGAACAGGCTTGTGGTTGCTAAGGGGGGGCCACAGCAGGGAGTTTGGAATCAGCAGGTGCAAACTATTATACATAGAACAGATACACAACAAAGTCCTACTGTGTAGGACAGGAAGATATATTCAACTTCCTATGATAAACCATCATGGAAAAGAATATGAAAAAGAAGATATATATATATATATATAACTGAATCACTTTACAGTACAGCATAAATTAACACAACATTGTACATCAACTCTACTTCAATAAAACCTCACAAAGCCATGGTCTCTGACCTCAAAACTGCTAGGCTGAGAAGGTGCCCACCTTGGGGCTGGTGCTGTATCTAAGTCACCTGGGCAGCCTTCTAAAGTCACACATGCCTACCCACCTCACCCCAGTTTCATCCAAGATTCTAGATTTCCAGGTTCAGTGGGAGGCCCTGACATGTGGATTTTGAAAACAAACAAACAAACAAAACTCCTATGATAGTTCTGATGACAACCTTGGGTGGTGAACCATGGGTCTAGTGATCTTCACAGAAGTCTGTAGAACTCAGTGCCTCCTTGTGGGGCAGTGGAGCCGTGAGACCCTCTTGACCCACGTCGGCAGGAGCTGCCCTGGGCCAGCAGTGACACGGGCTCCTGAGGGCCGGTCCCCAGGCGTTGGGTCAGGCCTGCGCTGGACACCTGTTCTCATGCCGACCCTGGCTGGGGCATCTCTGCTGCAGTTTGTCCCAGGCTCAGGGGCCCTTGTACTGAACTTACCTGGTCCCTGAACCTCTTCCCTTGCTCGGAAATCCTGCCTCCTGGTGCTGGCTCTGTAGTTACACCTAGTGACTGTCAGCACCACCACCCCCACCCTGCTCCGCCCCCGCAACATCCAAGAGTTCTTGTGACAAGTTCCGGTATAAATTCCACAGGGTCACTGCTGGAATGTCATTTTTGAGTTGAATGGCGATGATTTGTCTCATGTCAGCTTGTGAATTCTAGCTCTTGTTTTTCATTTTTAAGTGTCATGTCTGATTATTTTGGATATGACATTCTACCTGAATATGAGTGATAATGATGGTGGCGCTAGTAGTAAAGAACCTGCCTGTTAATACAGGAGACCTATGAGATGTGGGTTCGATCCCAGGTTGGGGAAGATCCCCTGGAGGAGGGCATGGCAACCCACTCCAGTATTTCTTGCCTGGAGAATCCAAAGGACAGAGGAGCCTGGCAGGCTACTGTTCATAGGGTTGCATTGAGTTGGACACGACTGAAGTGACTTAGCAGGCATGGTGACAAGTCAGAGATGGTATATTCAATATTTCACAATTATCACTTATTTATTGGGCTGTTTCAGGTCTTAGTTGCATTATATGGGATCTTTTTTGCAGTGTGCAGGCTCAGTTGCTCCAAGGCCTGTAGTATCTTAGTTCTTGGCCCAGGGATCGAACTGGCATCCCCTGCATTGGCAGGCAGATTCTTAACCACTGGACCACCAGGGAAGTCCCTAAAATGATGTTTTAAGTTCACTCATGTAACAATTGGCCCAACCAACCTGGGTCTAGGTGCCATAAGTTTCCTAAATGAAGGAAAGTGAAAGTGAAGTTACTCAGTCGTGCTTGACTCTTTGTGACCCCATGGACTATAGCCCGCCAGGCTCCTCCATCCTGGATTCTCCAGGCAAGAATACTGGAGTGCGTTGCCATTTCCTTCTCCAGGGGATCTTCCCGACACAGGGATTGAACCCGGGTCGCCCGCACTGCAGGCAGACTCTTATACCGTCTGAGCCACCAGGGGTTCCTGGCTTTTCTAAATGAATGAATGGAGTCAATTCAGAAAGTCTTACTTAAACTAATCATCTGGATAAGTACAAATAAAACCAGAGTTAGCTGGTGTATATTTTCTAACTGTGGCAATTTGCTGGTTCTTGACCTTCAGTAACCACGTCCTTTTGTAGCATGTCACCTGTCGGTTCATTTGCTCGCTTTCACTGAACCTGTTATGTGGGGTCATATGCTGGCCCCAAACCACACCTCCTTCCTCATGGCCACGCACCCTCCCTTCATGCACTGACCACCGGGCACACATGCAGATAGAGTGAGCAGAAATGGCCACCCTCAAGGCATCCTGTAGGGTGGGGGTGACAGCCACACATCAACCATTCCTAGGTGATGGAGGCTGTGGTGGGGTCTACCCTGGGTCTTGAGGATGCAGAGCAAACAAGTGAGCTCAGCTCTGCAGAAGCAGTGGGTGCCAAGGCTGGAGACCAGGGCATGTGGTGGGGAGGAGGGTGGCTTGCCTGACACAGGACGAGGATAGACAGGCTGGGGAGGCAGGTCCCTGCCCAAGCCTGACCTGATTGTTCTGTGAATGTCCTGCGTGGGACATTCCGGCCCCTCTGCCTCTGCAGTGTGACCAGAGTCAAGCACCCCGTGTAACTATCCTCCAGGGCCTGCTGCTGGGCTGGAAGAGGCAACTCAGACCTTTGTTCTTGGGAGACAGGGAGGGAGCTGGTGAAGGGTGTGTATTCCTCTTCCTTTTGACGTTGAAACAAACCACATTTAACTGCTGCGTGAATCCCTGTTCAGGTGTCCAACAGCCCCGGCAGCACACGGGGACCCCTCCCTGGCGTGGCCCAGCCCAAATGGAGACATGTCCTGAGCCCTCAGAAAGGTCTACAGCACGAGGCTAAAAATAGGCATGCAAGGCAGCCCAGACCCAGGGATCAATGTGCTTCACAGGCCCCAGGAAAGGCAGCTGTATCAAGTTCAGGCTTCCTCCCGCCAAGCCTCAGGGTCGTGAGAGACTTCCCAGCTTGGCTTGGAGCTGGGAAAGAGGGGGAGGAAGTGGAGAGGCAGGATGTGGTGGAGGGCCCTGGGCTGTCTGGAGGGCCAGAGCTGCGAGCAAAAATCCTCCTACGGACTCTTTGAACAGTTTAAAAAAACAAAAGCATGCACAAACACACACACAGTCCCTAAAAACAGCTCTTTGCTTTAATCTCCTTTGGTGGAAACTGGGATTTGGGGTGGTTCTCATGGGGGTGGCCAGTTCTTGGTTTTGAGGGTCTTCTGAGTATGTACGGCCATCAGCAAGACTGTGATAAGCACCAGATGAACCCTGATAAAGCTACACTCGTCCCAGGTTTCTGGACATGAGTGATGGCAGAGCAGCACTTCCCAGAGCAGCGACTTCTCGGTGGCGATTTGCAAAGAACCTGATCAGGCTCAGTGTGTGATGAAGCAGGAGGCACTTTTCTGATCCCTCTCTTCCAGCTTCTCTTCCCTCTTCCCTTGAAGCAGTGGAGCAGGTCCTGATGGCTGGCATGGTTTCATTTGGGGGCAGGGACACGAGTCCAAGGGACTGGAATTATGATAGGTTTCAGTCCTGATTCCTTGTGTTCTAGGACAGAAAAGACATTTCCTCTTTGCTTCTGAATTCTTTCCGGAAGAGAAAAGCAAAAAGTCATTCGAGGAAGATAGAGCAACATGGTCACCCCTCCTTCCTCCCAGGGACCCTCTTCTGGGGGCTTCTGTTAGCAGGTGGGTGAACTCTCTTCCAAGTGTATTAAACATGAGAAGCTTTGAGCATGTTTCTGGTAAGTCACACAGGCGGGGATAGCTCATTTTTTAGACTCTGACAAGGATCGTTACCAAATTACCTAAGGCAGATATCGTCAACATTTTGGGACATATACATTTTTTTTCCATTTATTTTTATTAGTTGGAGGCTAATTACTTTACAATATTGTAGTTGTTTTTGCCATACATTGACATGAATCAGCCATGGATTTACATGTGTTCCCCATCCCGAACCCCTCTCCCACCTCCCTCTCCATCCCATCCCTCTGGGCTCTCCCCTTTTACTTCTCATTTTTTATTTTTTTATTTGTAATACCTTAGGTAATGCACTTACTTATTTCTTAAAGCTTTTTTTTTTTAATGTGGACCATTTTTTTAAAATATTTATTGAATTTGTTATAATATTGCTTCTGTTTTATGATTTTTGTTTTTTTGGGTTTTTTTTTTTTTGGCCACGAGGCATGTGGGATCTTAGCTCCCTGACTAGGGATCAAATCCTCATCCCCTGCAATGGAAGGTGAAGTTTTAAACACTGAACTGCCAGGGAAGGCCCAATGCACTTAATTCCCCCTGCCCCACCCCCCCACCCCCAGGTTTATGGAGATATAGGACTTCCCAGGGGGAGCTAGTGGTCAAGAACCCATCTGCCTATGCAGGAGACATAAGAGACGTGGGTTCGATCCCCAGGTCGGGAACATCCCCTGGAGAAGGGCATGGCCACCCACTCCAGTACTCTTGCCTGGAGATGTTAATTAAACACTGATTCATTTGGAAGGATCGCTCAGGCACGAGTCACACCTGCTACACAAGAATGGTGACTTCTGCTGATGCCTATTTCAGGGGGAAAAGGCACAAAGTGGCAGCAAATAGTTTGCCTTTTGGTGATCTGGGAAGGTCTTTGCTCTCCTCGTGCTTCTGCACCTGCAGAGTTAAAGCTTCTCAAGTAGGAAAAAACCTGCAATCCCAGGGTGTCGTTAACTCACTGTGTGGACCAGACTTTTACTCCTTCTCCCTTTTATTTCAAAGAGATTTTTTTTTTTTTTTTTTGCACTTACTCCAGTTAGTTCTAAAGACCTCAAGTGTTAGGGAATAAATTTGCTTATAATGATGGATGGGCATTTTGACAACCCAGGGTTTTGCTTCCAGAGCACTTTTACAGGTGCTAAAATACCACCTGACAGGGAAGGAGCCCAGGACACCCAATGGGGAGAAGTGTGTATCTCTCACATTGCAGAGAGATCGGTGACCTGTTTAAAACTGCCCAACAAATTGGTGACAGGCAAAGTGGATTGCTCTCAGCCACACGCTCACATGGAGGGAAAAAATGAAGGGAGCGAGTCATCCTCTGCCCATCTGTCTTTAATTAGAGACAAAGGAAGTCAGGACTTTTTTTATCCACTGGAGAAAAACAGTGCAACTTTACTAGCTAAACACTGAAAATCCCTGTCATCAAAAATCCATGGGATTGGGCTTCTGGAAGGCCAGTCCAGCAGTAAATGACAGTGATGTGGCTGTCCAGGGAGTAGCTGCAGGGTGAGCATCCAGGATGGAGCATCAGGAGCGGCTGGCACTGGGTGGGGAGCAGGGTTCTGCCTGCCCTGGAGCCCTCGGGACAGTCGTGGTCCCTTGGCTCTGTTCTCCTGAGGGGGAAATGGCACCAGATATTTTTCCTGATCCAGAAAATCAAAAGCCTGAGTCCAAACATTCTCAGTCCAGTGAAAATATTCTGAAACCTCAGAAAAGTGCATGCCCCAGAGCCCCTCATCCTGACTTGTAATTTGGTCAGTGATCACCCGTTTTTAGAAAGGTTCGGGTGGTCCGATTTCCTCTGGGAACTCTGGAGGTTTCTTTTTCCGGAGTTTTCTGCTGGCCTCCGAGTTCCAGGGAAACTGAACTGGCTGAGGAAGCGAGAGAGCCAGCCCATGGGCTGCAGAAGGTGGTTTTGTGATGAAAAAGGAAAACTTAATTCACATTCCTTCTGCTTTCTTGATACCAGAGAGTTGACCCGAACACAGTCTGTGCGGAGAGGGAGGCTTTGAAAGTTTCATCCCTAATACACCTGCCTAAGAAAGATGCTCCACCGACAAGTTCAAAACATTGCATAATGAGCTATACATTCTTTAGATGTGTCATTAGATCTCCTGCCACCTCTTTGGGACATCGGAACCGCTATGCATCAGGCAGCATCCTCCCTGAGGGCCCGAGTTGGCTGGGACCAGGGTGGTGTGCATCTCTGATTTCCACACGCTTTAATGCAGTTCTCTAATTTGAAGCATGCAAACTAGGTTTTCTCCCTTCGGAAAGATGATCCCATACAATTTGGTTGAGGAGCGATGCACATTTCACAGAAAGAGAGAATGGGGCCATCCAAAAGGGATAGAAATTGCTCAAATGAACAATTCGCATTTCCTCTTCTCCCTGGGGGGGAAATGAATGCAAAAACATCTGCTGTGAAAGCTAAAGTCTAAGCTTCAACTCCTCCCTATTTGGTGCAGCAGAGTTTTAAGAGAGGCAAGCTGTATTTTTGTTGTTGTTTTGTTTAATGAACACACAGAGTGTGTCTGATACACAAGTGGTCCAGGACACCAGTAGGGAGATTGAGAATATAAAGGCAGGACGATTAGCTTGTAGCACAAGTTGGTGGAGGGTCCATGTGACAACAGAAATGGTCAAGGAGTATCGGCAAGCATCTCTGGGCAGCCAGGCTGGTCCCCCAGCCAGAGGAGCCATTACCCTGCCCTCGGTAATAATAACTAAAAGCCCAGCCTGTCTCCCTAAATGAGCAGACATCTTTTCCCACTTCTCCAGCCCCATCCAATATTTCTCCTTCCAAAGGTAGGACAAGCGTATGTCTCTTCTGTTGTTGTTGTTGTTGTTGTACCAACTCCTTTAACCAGCAGCAATCATTTATTCAGCTCAGAAGTCTGTGGGCAAGCCACTGGGTGGACTGAGCTGGGAGGTTCTACCATGAGTCTTGCTGGGCTCACAAAAAAATCCGAGCGCTCTGCCGCATCTCATAGTCTCTGATCCAACAACAGGCTGCTGGGACATGCCTGTGGTGGTCCCAGGAACCCAAAGAGAGGACAGCCCCAGTGCTCAAGCTTCTGCCACAAAGAAAATGACATGGCAAAGTCAGATGCAAGGAGTAAAGAAACAGACTCTTTTACTTCTCGACTGGAGGAGCTGCAAAGTCACATTGTAAAGGGAAGTAGAAGGACTTTAGCTGCTTTGAAATCCATCAGTCAACAGGTGACAAAGTCAGACTCATCCAGATTTCAAAGCCCATGCTCCTAATACTGATCCTGCAATGCCTCTCAAAAATGGATCCGTTCATAGTTTTCAAGATGACTGTCCCACTTTTTAAGGGAACTTGGCTTCTCTTAGTTTATAAGCCCCTGCTATCTTCAACCCTTGACAAGCATTAGTTCTCTCTGCTGTGTGCCCCTGGGTACCCCTGTTCTGTGCATCCATCCACAAGAACATTTATTACACTATAATGAAGCATTTATCATAATACAGTATTTACTCTCTAGACTGGGGGTCCCCAATTCCCAGGTCACAGACTGGTACTGACCCACAGCCTGTTAGGAACCAGGCTACACAGCAGGAAGCAAGTGGTGGGCAAGCGACTGAAACCTCATCTGTATTTACAGCTGCTTCCCAACACTCACATTACCTCCTGAGCTCCAACTCCTGTCAGATCAGTGGTGACATTAGATTCTCATGGAGTGCAAACCCTACTGTCACTGTCTCCCATCACCCCCCGATGGTACCATCTAGTTCCAGGAAAACAAGCTCAGGGCTCCTCCTGACTCTGCATTATGGTGGGTTGTATAATTATTTCATTATATATCACAATATAATAATCATAGAGATATAGTGCACAATAAATGTAATATGCTTGAAGCATCCTGAAACCACCACTCCTCTTCTGGTCCATGGAAAAACTGACTTCCATGAAACTGGTCCCTGGTGCTGAATAAGTAGGGGAACTCTGCTCTAGACAGTGTAGGTATTCTGTCTAGCTACAGCCCTGATGCCTGGCCTAATCTTTGGTAAGCATGTGTTTCTTGAAGCTAATCAAGTAGAGGACAGTTTGAGATGGAGGTAGAGAGTCACTTCTCCAAAGTCAGTATATTCAGACCTTCTCTGTCTGTTTTGGAGTAACCCAGGGAGCCCCCATGGGTATCAGGTGGGAATTTCTCCCTCCCAGCTGCAGAGCCATCCATTGTGGGAAAAATCCAGCAATACCAGGTCTGGAGCTCCATATCCAATCACTGTTGTTCAGTTGCCAAGTTGTGTCCAACTTTTTGTGACCCCGTAGACTGCAGTATGCCAGGCTTCCCTGTCTTTCACTATCTACCGGAGATTGCTCATATTCATGTCCATTGAGTTGGTGATGCCATACAACCATCCCATCCTCTGTCTTCCCTATCTCCTCCTGCCTTCAATCTTTCCCAGCATCAGGGTTTTCCAATGAATTGGCTCTTTGCATCAGGTGGCCGAAGTATTGGAGCTTCAGCATCTGTCCTTCCAATGAATATTCAGGGTTAATTTCCTTTAGAATTGACTGGTTTGATCTCCTTGCAGTCCAAGGGGCTCTCAAGAATCTTCTCCAGGACAGGTATTTTATCAAATGCCAAACACAAGTTGGTTTTCTTCTTTCCATTCACAGTTGCTTTAACACAAGTTGATTTTCTTTCCATTCAGAGTTGCGTTTGCTAATTTCATTAGGCCCCTGAGCTTGGCATCAAGACCAATTAGAAGACAATGATGATAAAGTTTGGGAGTGTGTAGGGCTAAACAGATAAAAGCCATCACTCTGTAGATCTGAGTGGAGCTTTCTGGCAGGAGTCACTTTCCAGCACCAAAGCCACTGGGACTTTATCTATAAGATGCTTTGACCTTTTAGCTGATATAGCTGCTTCGGTCTGATTTGCAAATGTATCTGAAGTTTTTCAGCCATGATCTTGATTTATCCTTTCTTTTTCTCTCTCCTCTGTCTCTTCAGTCAGACTATTCTCTGAGTGTAGTTCGGTTCCATTGGCTGAAGATGTTAGAAGCGAGGGCTGGGTTCAGATCTATCTCAGTCCAGCCTGCTTGCCTCTCGTGATGAAGGAATTCTGTGCAAAGACCTTATCATTGCTGATCTTGGCACATTCCAATGGCCTGACTGTGTGGGCCCCAGACGAGCCCCCACTGTGGCCAGCTGGATGGATGTCACCAGGGAAACCCTCTCATCTCAGAGGGTCACTTCCTTTCTCAGGCTACAGCCGCTAGCACGGTGTCGACTGGGGCTGGGAAAGTAGGTTGAAGCAGAACTGGAAGGGAACGAGGCAGAGTGCATGTGGAGGTGTCTGTGATCCAAAGTGTGACAGATACCTCATCTTTGCTGAGAGTGACTTTGGAATTATCTCCGTTCGTCTTCAGTTACTGAACGTCACGTGCTGCGGTTCCAGCCATGTAATTCACCCAAATCTGCACAGATGAACTGGCTTTTCACATCCAAATGTCTTTTCTAAGAATAAGTGTATTTCTATCTTGTGGTCTCATGTCTCCGAATATTGCCAAGTGTGTATGCCCAGGGTGTGGATACAGTGGGGCCAAAGCTGAGCTGCCGTCTGCATGCAGACATGTTCCTTATATGTCCTCCTCTGCCAGTTTGCTGCCTGAAACCCTCAAATGGGAAACAAAATTTTTAATTCTACCATCTGAACCAAGGACTCTGCCAAGAGGAGAAGATGGAAAACATCCCATGAAGATTATAATGATGTGCAGATTCTTGCCTGAGGTTAAGCTTTGTAGGCAATTGGTGGTGGGGAGAGGCAAGGAATGGCCAAGAGCAGGAAGGTCCTTGGGTCCCAGAAAAAACAAGAGGAAATCCCATTGACAGAGGAACCTGGCAGGCTGCTGTCCATGGGGTTGCAAGAGTTGGACACGACTTAGCGACCAAACCACTATCGCCGCCATCTAGGAGGGCACCAAAGGGACAGGGAGGAAAATGAGGACAGCATCACCTAGGCTACCCCTTGCCTGGCTTATCAGTGGATGAGTCTATCATCGGCAGAGCAGGCCTGCAGGCAAGGAGGCTCCATGGATGGGAAGGTGCCTGTCTCCATTCCAAGGTCAATAGCACACAAAACTGGGTGTGTGTCCAGTTCACCCTGAACTTTGCTGGTCATGCCACATCCAGCAGAGCCCAAAGGAGCTGACTCGATCAGGAGATCCAGTCCCACGTAGCTGGTTACAGACACAAGGACATGGCCATTGGTTTCCAAACCTTTGCTTCTGATGGATACCTTCAAGGGCAGGTATCCACAGGCCCATGGCCAACCTGGGTCTCTAGGTAGCATCCACTCTTGATCCACCCATCTGACCCATTCCACCAAGTTCATCCCCCACCCTAGCCGAAATAACCTTTAACATAGTGCAGGCAGAGGATCTTATCAGAAAGAGGGTTTCTCTGCCCTGTGATTTCTCTCTCTGTGCCTGACTTAACCAGGCGAGCACCTCCACAAGTCTGTTCTCCTTGATGGCCCTAGTGTGAAGGAAACATAAAGGACCCCCGTGTAGCCCCTTCTCATAATCACTTCTGAACCCTTTTGCCAACAAATACAGGCAGAGCCCATGGTGTGTAAGTACCATGGAAACTCAAGTACTGAAATGACTGGGGGATGGACTTGATCTAGACCTGCGGCCAGGCTGAAGACACGGATCCCAGCTGGTTGACCCTTCAGCTTGGAAAAAAACTGCAAGAGTTTCCCAAAGTCCTGGAGCCACCAGCTGTATTCAAAATATTGTGCCTGTTCTATTTACAATAGCCTATTTTAGTAAGTATTTTATTTATAATTTATTTACATGGAAGCAGCCTAAATGTCCATCAGTAGATGAATGGATAAAGATGTGGTATACATACAAAGGAATAAATGTATAAATGGAATAGAAAGAATAAAATAATGCCATTTGCAGCAACATGGGTGGGCCTAGAGATGATCATACTAAGGGACATCAGTCAGAAAGACAAATACCATGTGATGTCACTTATATGTGGGATCAAAAATATGACATAAAGGAACTTATCTATAAAACAGAAACAGAATCACAGACGTAGAGAACAGGCTTGTGGTTGCCGAGGGGGTGGGGGTGGAGGAGAGATAGAGTGAGAGATGGGGGTTAGCAGATGTAAGTTAATATATATAGGATGGATAAACAACAGGGTCCTTCTGTATAGCACAGGAAATTATACTCAATATCCTGTGATAAACCATAATGGAAACGAATATAAAAAGAATGCATATATATGTACAAAATCATTTTGCTTAACAGTATTTAGCTTCACTATCAACATTTGTTTCAGCATAATTAAAGCCATTTCATTCCTTAAAAAAATGGACAGTCTTATATTCATATTTATGGTCTTAGTTCCAGAGTGCCTTTTAATTCTTTACCATTTCATCTTTTTTCTTTCTTTTAAATCATGTAACATATGGAAAGAAAATGGAAAGATTACTCACTTGACTGGAATCAGGTTTGAAATCACTCTGAATATATTTCCTAACGCTTCCTCATTGATTGCCTTGGAAATAAATAACCCCAAGTGGTAGCATCATATTTATATTTCTAAGCTAGGAGGATTTCTCTTATTACTCTGCTTCTAAAATAAATTCCCAAGAAAGTGCGTTAAGTATCAAAATAGCATTTTCAATATCTGCCAACCTAATGTTCACGTCTCAGCAAGAAAGCATGTAACCAGTGAGTAAACTGCCTCTTTGTCAAACAGAAATGTGGCAAATTCTGAGGTGGCTCCTTTTCAACTAAATTGTCTCAGCACGCAGAGCAGCGGGGAGAGGGTTTGCTATAGGACACGGGCAAAAACCCAATCTTTAGATGATTTTTCCAGGAGGGTATTATATTAAGTTCCAGGGAGAAATGATGAGATATTCTCGGTGAAATGGCACATTTTCTTTCAGAATCACCCGCTCCATTTAAATGCATTTGCTCCTCCAGAATGCGTCCCCGATGGGCCACTGGGTCACACACGGAGTCCCCGGGATGCAAATGAACTCTCTAACCTGACTGGCTGCTCCTGATTTCCAGGAGACCTGACCTTCTCTGGATGCACCCCGACTCCACATACATGCTTTTTAAGAGACACGATTTTGTCTTGTCTGAGCACAATGTAATTAGGAAGCAATCTGGCCCATCTACGCAGCTGCCAGGGTCACTTGGCACGGCCTCCACCTGCCCCTGATGGGGTTGCCCTGGCTGTCCTTGGCTGTCCTCCGAGATGTCTCAGGGCTCAGGGATCCCAGGCGGCGCTTGCCTGGAGCCCAGGTTTGGCCAGACTCACAGAGAGTCAGGTGTTGTCTGCTGGGAGCCCTGGGGGCTAGACTGGATGGAGCCCACAGCAACCGTGTTCCATGTGGCCTTGGGCAGCATAAAGGAGCCTCAATCACCTGACATGAGCTGCCCACCACTCCACCCAGAGGGCAGACACCTTCCCGGGGCATGTGCAGGCAGGCATGCTCTGTCACTCTCATTCTTTGTGACTCCATGGACCGTAGGCCTCCAGGCTCCTCTGTCCATGGGATTTTCCAGGCAAGAATACTGGAGCGGGTTGCCATTTCCTCCTCCAGGGGATCTTCCTCACCCAGGGATTGAACCTGTGTCTCTTGCATTGCAGGTGGATTCTTTACCACTGAGCCATCATGGCAGCCAACCAGAAACAACAAACCCCAATCCCTTCATCCCATCACTCACAAACTTTCCCTGCAGCCTCTAAATCCCAGTCCCCCAGACCCCCTTTTAACCCAGCTCTCCCTCTATTTCTCTCTCCCCCAATAAGACTCCGTGCCCCATCAAGCCAGCCTTCTCTTTCTGCTCTAAATGACCTAAAATTTCTGGTCTCTGCCCCCAAACACTTTAACAGCCTCAACAGTTATTTCCATGCTCAATTCCACATCCTCCAATTCAAGTATTATTCTATAGCCAGATTTCTTTTCCAAAAACATACCTTTGGTCATGTTACATGTCATTCTCCTGCTCACAGACTTCCAGTGGCTTCTCATGGTCTCGAGTTTCCTTAGTTGGGTGCTCTGGCCTGCTGCCTATTTGTGTAAATAAAGTTTTATTGGCACCTAGTCACTCCCATTCATTTACATACTGTTTATAGCTGTGTTGATGCTATGGTGGCAGAGCTGAGTCATTGTGACAGACCCTACATGGCTTGGAAAACCTAAAATATCATTTGTCTCTTTATAGAAAATATTGGCTGACCCCTGCTCTAAAATGTGGTCCCAAATTTCCTTTCCAGTTTCATGTCTTTAGAGCCTGGACTCTCCTGCCTTTCACACCTTGATTCCCACTAGTCCACTCTCTACTGGGGGAAACATTCCCCTCCAGGCCCATTCCAAATGGACCCTACTCACAAATGCTTTCCTGACTCCTGTTTCCACGTCATCCCTCCCTCCTTTGGACCCGTCAGGCCTTGTGATGGCATTTTGCATGTTCTGACTTTTATTGTAAATATTAATGTGTGTTTAAGTGTTGCTTCCCCTCCCACCGCAGGCAAGGTTTGAAGCTCCTAGAGGGCAGGAACCAGGTCTCAACCACATTAAGCTCTCAGCCTAGCTTCCTGCAGTGTCATTCAATAGTTATTTGGAGACTTACTTGACTGAAAAACTGGGATTCTTTTCTTTCAGTGGCTTCCAGAGTAAATCACCAACCTCCTCCAAATGCTCACGGGCATCCCAACACCACCCAATACAAGGGGAAGCTGGAGTGAAAGGAGTCAGTGGTCTTAACTGACTTGAGTTCAAATATCTTACTGTTAGCAAAATTTTTTAAAATGACCACATTGCAAGGGCCCTTCCCAGCAATGTGGAAGGAGCCACTGCAAGTGAGGGGCTCTCAGCTTTATCAGCTTCTTGGCAATTTACCTCTGTATCTAGGCATCACTCAGGTATGAAGGCTTTAATGTGATTGCGCACATACAGCTGACCTGAGAGATACATGCTCTGTGCTAATGAGGGCTCCAGGGCCAGCTGGCACTCTCATCACTCAGGCATCCCCATGGATAATGAGAGCCTTATTCTACATTTTTTCTTTAATCTGGGTTTTTAAATTTTGCAGATTCACCATGGGAAACAGTTTGGTAGTTTCTCAAAAAGCAAAGTGTAGAATTACTGTATGACCTTGCAATTCCACTCTTCAGTATATACCCCAAAATAATTGAAAAGTAGAAACTGGAAAAGATACTTATACAGCCATGTTCATAGAAGCATTACTCACAAATGTAGCCAAAAGGCAGAAGCAACCTAATGACCTTCAGCAAATGAATGAGTAAATAATATATATGCCTATGATGGAATATTATGCAGCCATAAAAAGGAAAGCTTTGGTGCATGATACAACATGGATAGACCTTGAAAATATTAGGCTATATAAAATAAGACACAATAGGACACATATTTTGTAATTCCACTTACATGAAATATCTAGAACAGGAAAATTCTTAGAGACAGCAAATAGATTAGAGCTTATGAAGGGCTGAAAGAAGAAGGAAGAGGAAATTATTATTTAATTGTTTTGAGAGGTTCTGTTTGGGATGATGAAAAAGTTTGGGAAATATATAGTGATAATGGCTTACAACGCTGTGAATATAATTAATGCCATGGAACTGTACTCTTAAAAATTATTAAAGTGGTAAATTTGTGCTATGTATATTTTGTCACAATAAAAATACCCCCCAAAAGTGAGGTAATATCTGATCATCAGAAATGAATTTGTTCAGATCAGGTTATTCATGTGTTAAAAAATAACTGGCAGAATCTTTTGCATGAAAGTATTTATCTAAAATGATTGCAATCTCTGGAATAAGAATTCTGTAGAGCTCATATACAAAAAAATCTTTCAGGTTAACTACTAAGCCAAATAAAATTGATATTAACCTGATGTACATTCTCCGATCCTCCCTCCACTTGTCAACAAGCAACCGTGGATGAATTCAATGGCAGTGAAGACACAGGTTTTGAGAAACAGTGTGGCTTGTGTTTGTTTGCCAATGTTGTTTTCAAAAAAAGACAAACTTACTTGGTGGCGATTTGCCTAGGCTAATTTCTTTCAGACCCTGAACTCCCTGAAGTCTGTTTAATAATATAACTCCTTGGCTATCTGTATAGACCCTGACAGCCGGCTGGAGGCGAGGGGTAACGGGGCAGCCTCACAGTGGTTCATCCAGAGCATAAAAGCCTTAATAAGGGAGGATCATTAAGTGAGTGGGAGACCACATGCCACCTAGACATCGCGAGCATCCCTCTAAATGTATCTGCCGCCTCTGCCTCCCCTCCCCAATCCCGGGTTCCGTCACCCTCTCAGTTGCTTTCTCGGGGATACATTCAGAACCTGCATTTATGTCGGATAAATAATGCTTGGTGCAGCAACAAATCTGAGCTGGTTTAGCACAATCAGAGTTTTGTTTTTCATTCCATCACAATCTGAGACACTTAGGAAGGCAGGCTTCTACACAGTTGATCAGGAATCTGAGCTCCATCCACAAAGCTCTCTGGCTTTGGGGTCATCTATTGGATCCTCTGCATGTGACCAGGAGACAGGACAGCAGGATGGTGGAGATGGCTGAGGTGGGTTTTCTGGGCTTAGCATGGAAGTGATGCATGTCTCTTCTGCCTCCAACCCATTGGCCAGGACTGAGTCACATGACCCCCACCTAGCTGCAAAAGAGTCTGGGAAATAGGTTTGTCTGGGTCCTTAACAGGGTTTCCCCCAGGGGGATTTATATATATATATATATAAAACCAGCCAATCATTGCTCTTCCCATCCTTTGTCCCACTTTATCCTCACTCTACCAGGAGACCAGAATAGCCTTGCCTTCCAAGGAGAGGAAATAGAGGCACAGAAACCTTGAACTTGAGGCTCCAGCCTGGATAAAGACTGCAACCAGGAGTGCTCTTCCACTTTCCACGGTGGGGCAAGGCCACCTTCTTTGGTGACTAGCTCTGAGCTCCAGGGTGGACTGGGACAGCCTCTGCTCAGAGGGAGACTCACTTGGAACATCTGGGCTCCAGATGTGCTGGCTTCTTTCATGCCTCCGAGTGCAGGGGAAGGTATTGGTCTTAAGCCCTAAAATCCTGTGGAGTCTGCTTTTTGTCTCCGAGAGGTCTTCCCTCCTCTCTGCACTCTTTGAGGACTGAATTCAGCCCTCAAAGAGCCAGCCTTCTTCAACAGCTGACAGGGAATTCTCAACGGAGAACAGTTGATTTTGGACCAATTCCTGCTGTCAGTCCTGCAAAGCCCAAGCTTCCTGACCTATAGGGCATGCTGACAACCCCATCTGTGTTTGCAGTTAGTTATTGGAGGGGCTTCATTGTAAAAAGTTTGTCGAACGTTAAGCTGGATGGTGCACAGAAAAAGATGCATTCATCAGGCTGATTCTTCCACTCTCTGCCCTCTTTCTTGTGGCTTTGTTGACAGACCCACACAATGTGTGTTGCCAGGATATGAAGACACAATCCACAAAAAATACCTTTTGCCTCCTCTCTGTGTAGGTTTCCATCCATGCATCTATCTTGCCATTTTATTTCTCATGAAAGTGATTCTAAGGTTGAGGTTTACCTCTACTGCATGATCTCTTAATTCATAATATGAATAACAATGTGGAGAGTTGAGTCGATTCACAAATGGTCATTCATAATGGGATTTGGGGAAATGAAAGTGCACTGTGTGTGGCTTTAACTTTTCAAAGTTGAGATCAATACGATCACACCTTCAAATTTTTTTCCCAATGTAGTTTTTGGTCATACAGCCCTGAACTGGATGGATGGTGTGCTGACTGCCAGAGGGGTTTTTTATGTTTGCACATAGCTCATTACTAAAGATACTTTACAAAAACTGTGAGGAAAGTAAGTATTTGTTACATTAGTATAATATATAAGAGCAGAGAGGCTCAATAATACACTTGCTTTAGGATAAGGGAATACACATGGTGGTCCAGTGGTTAAGACTCTGTGCTTCCACTGCAGGGGTACAATTTCAGTCTCTGTTCAGGGAACTAAGATCTCTGAATGCCAAGGGGCCAAAAATATTTTTTTCTCTTGAGCTGAATAAAAACGAATATACAACATATTAACTAAAGATTAGGGAATATAGCTATCACCTGTTAAGGTGAGAGGTATGAGATTTGTGTTTTGTTTTGTTTCTATTTGTGAAATTTTACTCTCTCAGGTTTTCTTCCTCTGTACTACAGTGAAGAAGAAAGGGATGTGCTTTTGAGGGATGGTTTCAGATGCAAGGAATAGCATTTCTGACCAAAAATGAGGTTTACTTTCTCACACAGGAAGACATCCTGGATATAGAGTCGTGGGAAGGTTGGCCAATTCGATGGCATAAACAATATATTTTGCCCTGCAGTCCTCAACTGTGCCTCCTCATAGCCACAAGATGGATGCTGCAGCTCCAGACATCACATCCTCACAGAACTAAGGCCAAAGGCTGAAAGGTCTTTCCTCTTTTCAGGAAATATATTGCCTAGAATCCCCCAGCAGACTTTTACCTGTATCTCATTGGCCTAAAGGGAGTTCACTCTTATCCTTAATATAATCATTGGCAAAGTGGAATGGGATTATCATAACGGGTTTGGACCAGTGGTGCTCAAACTTCAGCATGAATTGGAATCTCCTGGGGGCCTTATTAAAATACAAATTGCTGTGTTCCTGCACCAAAGTTTCTGGTTTACTATATTCAAAATGGAGCCTAGTAAATTTGCATTTCTAATAAGCTGCCAGGTCATCCCACTGACGCTGGTCCAGGGAATCATACTTTGGTTGGTTTAGACAGATCTTGATTCATTTCCTAGGGCTGGAGACAACTGGAGGAAAACATCAGGACCAAATTAGCTGAAGAGAACTTGTTAGGCCGGCACCCTGTCCCATCCACTGCACGTTTTCTTGTATTTTCCCCTGCATTTTCTGGGTATACTTCTAGACTCTTTTGGCCTTTTCTGGACCATTGCAGATTAGATAGCTTTATGGAAATTGTTTTTATTAATTTGATTCCTACAGAAAGTATTTTTTCCTTTGAAACTAACATAAA